TACCGCGCTCAGCCAGTGAGCGCACCGGCCATTCCTATATACGATCCGAACCCGCGGCGGGAGCGTCACTGTGCTCCCAGCGCCGTACTCTCCCGAGTGCGCCACGGGGCCGGGCCCCAGTCAAGCCTTTTGATGAGACCACAAGCCTAGCCTTGTGTGAAACTCCATCCTAGTCAGGGACCCCAGCTGATGGAGACTCTGTCTCAGTAGCTGCTTCCGTGATCATCCTGATGCAGGAGGAATTGCACCCTGACACTTAAAACTCCCGCCCCAACGTGAAACTTGGCATTTCTATGTGTGCTTCACTGACCCTGACGTCACACAGTCATCTCTAACTTCAAAGGGCGTGGAAAGTAAAGACATGGAATATTTGCGAACAGTGCAGAAGACTCCCATAACACCCGCCTGGAAGGATTGTTGTGGGAACAATGCCTTTAAACGGCTGAATCAGGATGCTTTCAGCTACAAGTAAAAGGTAGCACAATGCAGACTTAAACAACAGAAGCTTAAACAATAAAGGGAATTTGTTGGCTCATATTTTTTGGCTAAAAGGTCCGGAGGTGGGGTTGTTTCAGCTAAGACTGGATCCAGTGACTCAGTGATGTCATAGGATTGGTTTCTCTGCCTCTCTTTTCTGTATTTTGAGATATTAGCTTCATCCTAAACCCTGCTCCCCTCAGTACCCCAAGATGGTTAGCAGAAGCCCCTGGGGCTCTGTGCTTCCTTGATCAAGTCAGCAGAGAAGTAAGAGTGTCATTTTTCACAGGAGTCCTAAACTTCCCTCTGATTGGGTCAGCTTAAGTCACAGGCTCACGGAGGCCTGCGAGGGATTGCATTGGGGAGTGAAGATGGTTTTGCCTGTGTTACATGCTCAGACCTCCAAGTCAGGTTCCTGGAAGCTCATGGATCTCTAAGCAGAAATGCAGTGTGTGTGGCAAGTTGTGTACAGAAGTGCCTGACACTGTTCCAGTCCCCTCCGCCTCCCAGTATTACCTACTATTCCTTTCTTCCATGTCATCACCTGGTGAAGAGATTTCAGTGATGAATTTGCAAACATTACTGGATGTGAAAATGCTTTGCATTTAGAAAGCTGGACACATCTAAGAGATTGTTACTATTGCTACAGATAAGCAGTTCTCGACTGAGACACTGCAGGATCCTCGTCACTCACTGTATTCTGGTCATGCTGGCATTTTTTCCCCCTGAAACATGCTAAGCTTGTCTGGGTCTTAAGACTTTTGCCTCCTGCTGTGTATTGATTAAATTGTGTCCCCCAAAGTTCATATATTAGGAACTTAAATCCCCACTATAACTGTTGAGGGTAGGAAATGCCATTATGGTAATTGAAATGTAGGGCCTTGAAGAGGTGATTAAATTGTAGGACCACCATAGTGAATAGATTAATAATGGTGGTCAGGGGTGTGGTTCTGAGGTCTTTAAAAGAAGAGCACATGAGAAGTTAGCTTCTCTCTGCTCTGCCATTTTCTGCCATGTGAGACTCCTGGGTCACTGTTGCCACCACCAAGACCCTCACCAGGTGTGTTCTCTGGACTTTGGAATTCCCAGCCTTCAAAACTGTAAGCATTAAATTTTGTTTTCTTACAAATCACCCAGTTCCAGGTATTTTGTTATAAACCACAGAAACAGACTAATACACCTCCCATGCATATCCCTCTGTCTGGAACTCTTTGCCCCCAGATCATTCTTTTTTTTTTTTTTTTTTTTCCTTTTTTTCTCTTTTTTCGTGTCCGGCAACGGATCGCAACCCTCAGTGTCGCGCCCGTACTGGACCGGGACCGGCAACGGGATCGCAACCTTTGGTGTTGCTCCCGCACCTCGCTCAGTCAGTGAGTGGGAACCGGTCTGTATGTGGGATCCGAACCCTCGGCGGGAGCGCCACTGCGCTCCCAAGTGGCGCACTACAGTGCGCCACTGGGCCGGCACCCCCCAGATCATTCTTAACTGACTCCTCATCCTTCAGGTCTCAGAGAAGCATTTCCTGAGCTTCCTACACCCCATCATCATCTTTCATTTTCTTCCTAACATGTGTTACGGTCTGAAATTAGTGTGTTGACTGACTTGCTTCTTGCTTTACACCCCCTGCCAGAACTTAGTGTCAGCAAGTCCCTTCTGTCTTGCTCACAGATCTATCCCCAGCATCTGGCACAGGGCTTGATGCACATTTGACACAAAGTAAATGTGTGTGAAAAGAATAAAAGAACAAATGATTAAATGTGTCATCTCCACCCACTTCTGTGCGACCCTTTGTTGTGAGGTGTGTCTCAAGCGATTGCCAGATTTTACAAATGACTGGCTTAAAAAGTACAAGTTAGAATATGTTCAAGGTTATCCCTATAATCATATCTCTCTCTTTCAGTCACTTTATTCTTGAGAGGAAAAGAGAAGAGTGGAATTACTCTCAGCTGTTTTGGAATGAGTGTGATTTGTGTGCTGGTAAGTTCCTGGGTGAAGTTGATGCTGTTGATTGGGAGCCTTTAAACCCTTATTAGTAGCTGTGGCTATTTTGAATTATTGTAGTGCATTATTTCTCTGCAACATTTTTGGCTCTCATTAAAATCCATGTAGGGCCGGCCTGGTGGCACACTGCTACAGTGCGCCGCTTGGGAGCGCGGTGGCGCTCCCACCGAGGGTTCGGATCCCACATACAGACCGGTTCCCGCTCACTGGCTGAGCGAGGTGGGGAGCAACACCAAGGGTTGTGATCCCGTTGCCGGTCCCGGTCCGGTACGGGCGCGACACTGAGGGTTGCGATCCGTTGCCGGACACGAAAAAAGACAAAAAGGAAAAAAAAAATCCATTTTCATCCATGGAAAAGTGTCCTATAAGTCAAAATATCTGTCTTGTGTGCTGCAAGACATCACTGAGGACCAACTGTTGCCATAGAGCATTCAGGGGAATTTCCATTTTAAAGTACAAGTGTTAAACTCATTCATCTAAACATATCTCTAATCCACCAACTTACTTACATCTCTTCTTTCAAGCGTACAATTATTACTATTCAAGCTACAATTATCCAAGGTAGAATTTCAGGGTCCAATTATTACTGTAACATTTTCATATTGTAAGAAAATAATCTAACTGAGTCATTTTCAAAAATAATTCAGGCCCAGCCCAAAAGTTGTCTGACTGGTCCAGCCCATTCCTGGGGGGGTCGCTGAATAGATAAAGTTGTCCTTCAGATGGTAATGAGTTACCAGCCCTTATTGTTTACTTCAAATGGATAAAGTGGTCCTTAAGATGGTAATGAGTTACTAGCCCCTTCCTGAGCCCTTTATTGCCCTCTTCATTCCCTAGTGTTTCTCCTTTCACAGGGTTTCAGTGGACCTTTTTCACGGGCTTGTCCTGAGCCCTCAGACAAAGAAATTTCTTGCAAGGGGGTAGTAGATGTGGGCACTTTAAAACGTCATCCGGGAAGATTGTGAACCCCGAGTACTCTCAGCCAATGAGAAGGTGGGGGCACAGACTTGCAAACTAGGAAATAAATTGCTTGTTGCAGCCCTTTTCCATGTGCCTGCCCGTCAGACATCTGAACCTTGCAAGGCTGTAATTAAAGTCTTGCTTTGCTGTACCTCATGTCTCCATGTCCAGCCTTTGGCCTTGGATGGGTGAAGGCATTTCTCACAATATTGACCACTGCAACAGCTTGCTAACTGGCTCTCTGAAGTTATCCACATGAAACCAGACCAATCTTTTCTAAATGCAAATCTGATCATGGTACCTGCTTCATAAAACTCTCCAGTGGCTTCCCTATCTTCTCAGGAAAAAGTCCAGTACAGTATTTTCAACACTGCTTACTTGATGTGGCCCCTGTGTAGCCTCATCTCACATCACTCCCCTCCAACCACAATGACATTCTTTCAGTTCCTCAATCTCAAATAGCATGCTTTTTCCCAACACAGGATCTTAGCACATGCTGTCCCCTCACTTAGGAAAATTTCTACTCAATTACCTTATTAACTCCTCTTTCTTCAGAGCTCAGTTTGTGCCATGTCCTCAAGAAAACCTTCTCCATTGCTCCCAGGCCTGGCCAGTTTTCTCTGTTGCATGATCCTGTGTTCCAGTCCTCAGAGCACTAAACCTCATGCCCTCTCCCCCACTTTAAGGGTTTTTGTTCATTACCTGCAGGAGAGAAGGAGGAGACTGTTTTTACTCACCAGTGTATTTCTACTGCCCAGCACAGCAAGCTTTAGGTGCTTGATAAACATATGCTGGATGAAGTCTAAAAATGCATGTTTATTTACTCAGTCCCTACTATGCACTAAATCCTGTGTTAGGCCCTAAGCGGGAACTGAGATCAGTAAGATGCTTGACCTTAAGGAACTCCATGACAGTTAAGAGCAATGAATACGATATAGATTATGGAGACAAATTTCTATAACAGAGTAGAAGTGGCTACATGAAAGGAAAACGTGCTTTGGGAGACACATGGAGGGGGGATGGGAAAATCCATTTATTCAGCATACATCTTGAATGAAGATTCTCATTATGTGCTAGGCACTATCCTGTGTGTTTCATGTGGTTGAGGGCATCGTGAGATTTTTACAGATGGGGAAAGCAAGGCACACGACGGTCAAGTAACTTGCCCAAAGTCACATAGTTACTAAGTGCTAGAAAAGGGATTTGAACACAAGCTGCCTGGCTCCAGAGCCCATGTTCTACTACCTCACAGGAAAAACTTCATGGAAGACACGGCAATTAAGATCTGGCCAGGTGCAAGAGGGTCGGCCATTCCTAGCAAAATCCGGAACGGAAAATACATGCTTAATTACGGGTTCTGTTCCTTCCTTTACCCATTTACCCCATCTGATATGCGGAGGGATGCTACAGGAGTAGCAGAATGAAGAGAGAAGGCGGGGATGTGGGTGGGGCCGGAGGGACAGGCTAACTTCCGGCTACGGCGAGTAGCGGAACTATTTCAATGGAAACAAAAGCGGGTTCACCGCTAGGTGAAATCTCGCGGTGCTTGAGCCGGCGGAAGTGACGTCGCAGCCCTCCAGCGCCTCAGGTGGGTCGCCGTGGCCCCTCCTCCCAGTGCGGCAGCCCTTTCCCGCGTGAGCTACCCCTGCCGCTCGGGCCGCCCGGAGGGAAGCATGGCGTCTGCCCTGGAGCAGTTCGTGAACAGTGTCCGACAACTCTCGGCTCAAGGTGAGGCCCTGGGCCGCGGGGCTGGGCCTGAGCGGGTCCAGGGGACGGGCCTGCATCCCCAGGCGCCAGCGCGGACGACTGGGACCGCCTTCTGGTCCCGAGCCTCTTTTCCGGGGCCGGGCTCGGGGTTGCGGCGCTTAGGCCTGGGAGGAATAAAGCGCGGCTGAGTTCGAGCAGACCCCTGGCGCTCCCGGGCTCCATTATCCCCTCCTGCCGGCCTCCCCTCGCTCGGGCTGCCGGGACCCTCCTCCCCCTGGCCCGGGCCCCTTCCACCGGGCGCCTTGCTTGACAGTTTGGGGGCGTCACTTCCGCCGGACACCTTCCTGGCCTTCCGTTGGCCCATTCGGCTTCCCTTGCCTTCGGTGATTGGCGCACCGGCCTGTCAGTCCCGCCGCCTCTTGGCAGCCGCCTGGCTAGGCCGCGGGGAACGGGCGGGAGTCGAGTCTTTTCTGGGCGCTTTGGCTCCCAGGATGGCCTTAGCCGGCCTCTCCGCCGCCGGCCGCTTCACGCTCGGAAACCTCTGCGCCTATTTTGGTCGTGCAGGATGCCGAGGGAGCTCTCGCTTGTAGGACTCCATTTCTGGAGGTAGAATTGTTACTGTGATTATTTTGCCCTTCATTTTCAAGCTGTTTGGTTCATTCATCTCACCATCTGAATATACAGAATCCAGGACTCGGAATTAGAGTAATTAGATGCTGGCTGTGAAGACCCCTTGAATTATCCTGTGCTTCACTTTCTTCATTTGCAGCATTAAAAATAAGTTCCTACTTTATCGAGTTGTTGTGAGAACTGAATGAGAGAAACCATGTAAAAGCACTTGGAACAGTACCTGTCATAGGGGGTGCAATAAATACAGCTACAAATTCTTGTTAACAGCCGTTAAGTCTGAACCGTAAGGGTCTAAGGGCTGCGTGACCTTGATAAGTCACCTTTAATCTCTTGAGTCTTTTTTAAATCTCCATTTGTAAAAATGGAGGGGTGCTGTCTACCTTACTGTTGTAAGACTTAGAAGATTTGGTATGGAGCTGTACTTAATAAATAGTAGTTCTTTCTCGTTTACCTTACTGTTGATAGAAATTAGGTTTACAGGTAAGGCACAGCCTGGCATTTTCTATGAATAACGTTCAACCATTTGTTCATTTATACCACAAACACTTAGTTTCTGCTTCTAGGATGGAGTTTGTTTAAAAGATTCAGGTTGGAATCCTGTCTCAGTCACTTCTTGTGCAGGCCACATAATTTCCCTGGACAATTTTCTCATTTGCAAAACAGAACTAGGGCAGTTGTAAGCATCAGGTGGGGTCACTTATCTGAAAGCTTTGTATACCTGCTCTCTGTTCTGTGCAAGACTGTTTAAGAACAGTCTGCTAGGCAGAGATAAATACTTTTACTGCCATCAGCTCCTCACATTCACTGCATAGTAAATGTTTATGAGTTGTTTCTGTTTTCCCTGTTCTCGTTCAGAATTTTCGAATATGGACATTAAGTGAAGAGTCTATTATAATTTCCAGCTTTCTGATTAGAGGGAATGTCATAGACCACATCTCCAGGGTTGATTTCAAATGCACCCTGTGGCACTTAAACTTACTTTTGTCTCTCCCCTTGGCCCTGCACTAGTTAACCAATGATTTCATAGTGACCCAGCTTTTAAGTGTCAACTTGGCACTGTTTATTTCATTGAGGAAAAACTAATGGGCTGAAATGCTTATTTCTGGGTTTCAAATAGTTGTAAATGTATTTAGAATAGTGGGTTAGAAAAGGGCAAATTATTCAACTAGCGGAAGCTATTCATACAAATTATTCAACCGGCAGAAGCTATTCATACCGCGCAGTGAGAGCTATAATAAAATGATGGTGAGTTGGTATTTCCAGTTCAACCTATGTTGTCTTGAGAGGTGATGGCTAATATAACCTCAGATGTTTGTTTATTCTTGTTTTGCAATGCATGTTATAATAATGGGATATTTCCTTTGCGTTTGGTAAAATATCAGATTAAAAAATGTTATAGTATACGAACCCCAGAAATTAAATTATCGAAGTACCTAGCTACAGCCACTCGGATTTTAAGCATTGTACTATTTAAGTGTTCTTTTAATAAGAAGAAAATTACCCAGCTACTGTATAGAAATATTGAAGAAGGAAACTTGAGGTTAATTCCCATGGACCTATACGAGTATATATCCCCCGCTACCTCCTCCACCACGACCAGAAAGATAGAATGAGGCCATTGTCAGAATAACCATCAAAATTGATGGGTCTGCTTTTTTTTTTTTTTCCTTTTTGTCTTTTTTCGTGTCCGGCAACGGACCGGGACCGGCAACGGGATCGCAACCCTGGTGTCGCGCCCGCACCTCGCTCAGCCAGTGAGCGGGAACCGGTCTGTATGTGGGATCCGAACCCTCGGCGGGAGCGCCGCCGTGCTCCCAAGTGGCGCACTGTAGCAGTGCACCACCGGGCCGGCCCGATGGGTCTGTTTTAAAATACCAATTCAGGCCTAATTTGATTCTATACCTTAGTCGTTAAAATATAGCATTATGGTATAGAGAAAGAATAGATGGATCAATAAGATTAATTCAACAGGCTTCTGGTTGGTTGGCTGCTAAACAAACATTGTATTCTAAAGCTGTAGAAAGGATCAGTCTCTCCACCTGAGTTTACTTTGGGATACTTCACCACCGCAGTTCCATTTGATGCACAGAGGGCACAGAGAGAGCAGATAACCAACTTAGTCATGGGAACGTGGTGGGAGGAGGGCCCAGAGAAGGCCCAAGCTGATTGTTGAATGATGAGTAATCAATCAGGTAGCGGAGGATGTCGGAGAGAGGGATCAAGATCAGCATTTGTAGAAGCATGAAGATGAGAGGATGTGGAATGTTAAATTCCTGAGTGTGGTGTGACCAAAGAGAAGGTGTGTGAAGGGAAGTGGCAGGAGGTATGGTTGGAGAAGTGGCTGGTACCAGTTACGGGAGGTCCTCTGTAAGCCAGGATGAAGCATTTGGACTTCTTAAAGCAACTGGAGTAATTTGACTGAATTTGCATTTTAGACAGATCAGACAGTACCAATATGGAGCACGGGTTGGAGGAGAGAAAGGCTCAAGTAGGAAGACTTATGGTATAGTCCAGACAAGAAATAATGAGGATACGAATTAAGGCAGGGAAAGGAGAGAGAAAGAAAAGGAGCTGAGGGACTTAAGAAAGTATAATTAAGTTGTATTTGGTGACTTTTTAGGTGCAGAGAGGGAGATGAGGGAAGTGGTGATAGTAATGTGTACATTACTGGCTTGGGGGACTGGAAAAGGGAGTGGAGGAAAAGGAGAAACTTTCAGGGACCAGAGAGAAATGAGAGGTCTGGAATAATCTCTGTTTAGTTTTGAGGCCACAGGCAGGTTGGTTTACTCTTCTGGTCCTCATCTGAAATGAGGGAGGTATAAGAAATCATCTTTAGGCACTTTGAGCTCTGAGGTACAGTCTATGGTTAGAGTTCCTTTAGTTTGGTTAGTGCTATAACTGAATGATAGTGTTGTTCCTGTTTTCCAGGGCAAATGACCCAGCTCTGTGAACTGATCAACAAGAGTGGAGAACTCCTTGCAAAGAATTTATCCCATCTGGACACTGTGCTCGGGGCTCTGGATGTACAAGAACACTCCTTGGGCGTCCTTGCTGTTTTGTAAGGGGCATCTTCTTTTATACTTTCAGACTTGATGAAACCTAACGCTCTGTACTTTTTTTTTTTTTTCCCCTTCGGTGTAGAAAGTAAACCATGTAAACAACATTGAGCTCTTTTGTAAAATTAAAGTCATAGTAATTACATTTTACTTATTCTACCAAATCATTTCTTGTTATATTTTGTTCACTTTTACCGTTTTTAAAGTCTTTGTGTTTATACAGATTTTGAAAATTTACTTTTAAAAATGAATGACCATCTTAATTACGGGCACTACAGATTGTGTTTATCTGAATACTTTTATTCATGTAATCTATAGTATGTCCACATTTTCTAACTTGGAAAGAAAATAAGAAGAGTGATGGAACAGGGTGTGGTGGAATACATTGAATGAAAATATCAGTGACCCAAAGCGGCATTGCTTAGAATGCCCTTCAAACAAATTTAAACTGTTTAGACCAAATTAAATAGACCTTATTTCAATTGGGAGTTTGTGTAACTGTGTACTTACTTGACAGTAGAATTCCTTTTCTCTTGATGTTATAGTATTATAAATTGAGATATTGTGTTTGCCATGAAATTGAATTAATATAAGTAAACTGAGAAGAAATTGACATACGGTGAGGGTCTGGCTTCACTCAGGCTGGGAGTTCCAAAACAACAATATGTATCAGAGTTTAGAGAAGAAACTGTCAGAATAAGGGTCTAGAACTGTGCTGTGCAATACGGTGGCCACTAGCCATATGCAGTAATTAAAATTAATTAAAGTTAAAGATTCAGTTTCTCAAGTGCACTTCCACATTTCATATATTCAGTAGCCTCATGTAGCTACTATGTTGGACAGCAAAGATATAGAACATTTCCATCACTGCAGACAGTTTTACTGGACAGTGCTGGCAAACATTACTATCTGTGTTTTCTTATTTATATGAAAGAGCAGGTAGCATGCATGTTTTATATACATATAAACTCTCATGTGTGTATTCGAGGCATCTTTTAAAAAGTTCATGGCTGGATAGCTCAGTTGGTTAGAACGCAGTGTTATAACACCACAGTCAAGGGTTCTGATCCCCATTCTGGCCAGCCACCAAAAAACAAACAAACGAAAAAAAATAGTGTCAACTTAAAAAGTTCATGGAAAGGGCCGAGCCCGTGACGCACTCGGGAGAGTGCAGTAGCGCTCCCACCGTGGGTTCAGATCCTATATAGGGATGACCGGTGCGCTCACTCGCTGAGCGCGGTGCGGCCGGTCTCAAAAAGGACAAAAAAAAAAAAAGTTCATGGAAAGATTCATATTATCTTTTAATTCTATTTTCCCATGAACTTTTTGAAGTACTCTTGTATAGCAAGTGAGATAATGTACATGAAGGCATTTTAAGCTCTAAGGTATTTTACCATTGTATATCAGTTAAAATAGATAACGTATGGAAAGAGCCTTGAACTTGTGGCTGAGTACCCTGGAATTGAATCTACATTCTCCCAATTATGAGGTATGGGGCCCTAAGCTTCACGTTTTTGAGGTGGAAATCACAATTCATTATTGACTTACTGTGAACCCCAAATGTAATTGTTTCTGGTATGTTTTGATAATTACAAAGTATAATTACGGATGTAAGGTGACATTGTTAAGTCAAATAATATTGTATAGATGGAATTAGACAAACTGAAAGATGTAGGAGAAATTATGATTAGGTAATAACATATCATCCATTTCATTTTTTTTTAAATTAGTTTCAGTAGTTTTTTGGGTTTTTTCAAGGAGAGCTTGAAGTTTACTTACAAGCAGTGCCCTAGTGATGGTAGATGATATGATTTCTCTCCTAAAACCTATCTCTGACCCCCTCTTGGAGTGTTTCTCATGACATTGATGGTACCATCTGCCATCTGAGTTACTCGGGATGGATAGTCCTCCCTCTCCTCACCCCCCTTCTTTGGTCCTGTCATCAGCTAGTTCTGTCAGTCTTTCTCCCAGATAGACCCCAGTGTCACCTGAGTCCCGGCAGCAGTATCTTTAACCTGAGCCACTGCCACTGCCTCCATCCGGCCCATAGCTCTCATTCCTTGCCCGGCTTCAGTACTTCAGTACGTTTTCCTCAAAGCAGGAAAAGCCACAACTGATTTTTAAAAAGTAATAGTCCTGACCACGTTGGAGCACAAAAGAAAATTAAAGTTAAAAGTTTCTGTTCAGTGTCTTCTTGAATATTTAGACAACCTGATATTTGGCCTTTTTTTAATGGAGCTTTTTGTTTTGAAAGTTGTTATTTTTTTTTTTTTTTTTTTTTTTTTTTTTC